GTTACATTTTTGAGTTCATTTTAGAAGGGATAGCCRGCACAACTGACCAATAAAAGGATAAATATTAAGAATAATATAGTGAATTTTATAAATATATATTTTTTTACATGAGAAATTGTTTTAATTATGCAATGATCCAATAAACATTTTTGATGAGTTAATTTGTTCCAGAAGTAGAAGCGCAAGTACTTACAGCAGGCTGAGTTCTTTTGATGTAAGTATAAGGATGTCGCAAAAGATTTTTGAAATGAATATTTTTGAAATAATAATCCTTAATCTATATTTATTAAGACAAGTTTTGACTCACTTCTGGTGGACCCAGCTGACATTAGTCTTGGCCACTCTCCTAACCGACCTACCCATCGCCGTTACCATAGCAGTGGATCTTTCAAGTTTCTTCCCCCTCCTGATAAGATAGAGTCTCCTCCTCGTGGTGTAGTACCAACTAAAAAAGCTGAAGCAAGCAGGTATATTAAGCTATTAAATTATTTTCATTATAAAATCAAAACGAAAAAAATATAAATTGAACAGTAATATTAATAGTTTGTAAGTGGTATTTTAAGGGTGCAAGGTCGCAGAAGCGGTTGCATTCCCCTKCTCCCACCAGSTAGWTCTGCCACTACATGTACCAAATCATGATTATCAAATCAAAATTGATATTATTGATAATTGTGTAGAAAAATGGCTGGTAATACAACGCTTGGGGAGAACTATGCATTTGGAGGAATGTACCACATCTTTGATCAGCATGCTAAAGCTGGTAAGRAATTTGATAATATGATACCAAACAACAATTGAGATGACAGTAATTTATAGTCAATATGCAGAATTTTAGGCCTAAGACAAGTAGAGGGTGCGCTTTTTGTGTTAGTATGGAGACATAAGATCAAACAAGACTTGTATCACTTTCAACTTCAATCTTGTAATTATAATAAAGCAACAATTGAAGAARTTTGAAAACACATCATTCTTACATCAGTGAACCAACTAAAGGCTCTTTGAACTTAACTAGTCTAGTCAAACATTTAAAAACTTTAGGAAACCTCTTTGCCTATTTATATCCATTCAATTATTGACAGTAACTGCAATCAAGTTTGCCCATGATGATAAATACAGACTGGCTTGTAGTTCTAATGATGCCACACTGTCTGTGTGTCTTTTGATGCCGACACCTCCATCAGTGTTGTGTACTCTACGTGGACACTTGGCAGAAGTGACAGGTGAAGTCTTGCTGGTATCCATGTTTTATGTCTAGTTTTGTTTTTGCAAATCTTTATCAAGTATTTCTATATTGTTTTTCCATAGATTTTGACTGGTCTGTTACCAATTCGTTCATATTATCATCATCSCTGGACAGTACATGTCGAATATGGAACCCWYTGTCAGGRAAATGCTTACGTGTCGTTGCTGACAGTCAATCGTGTGGGGTTACAGCTTGTAGATTTCAACCTTGCAACAACAACATGTTTCTTGTATCCTTGTATCTTGAATTATTTTATTATTGTGTGTTAAATTTAGAAAGAAGAAATAGAAGGTACCAYGTTCTAATAGCAGAAACCTATACGGGACTTGAAACGTGTAGTGCCCAAACATTTCTTTAGTACCAAGCGTTGGAATATTCAAAGCTCATTAAAAATTTGAAAAGAAAGGTTATGACCATATTTGGAAAATTCTGCCATTGGATATGAGATTTTTAAGGACCATTCAGATTGTCTATAGGGTAAATTGAATTGTTCCAAATAAGGAAATACGATACAAATTAGTTTTGAATATTTGAACGGGTTGCATGGCACTACACGTTCACGTTCCCGTTATAGGTTTCTGCTAATAGTAGTTGCAATGTACTAAAAGTTTAAAACAGTACTAACCAAATTGTCTGGCTGGCCAACTGCATGCCTTAGAAGGCAAAGTTTACTCTTTGACTTAGACAACAACATTGTATGGTTTACCGATTAACTTAAATAATGTTAATGGACTTTTTTGCATGTAGGGGTCACATGTGTGGCTTGGAATGGAAAGACCTGTCTTACATTGTCCTATCTWACCTTGTATCCTTAACACCTTAAATCAGACAGGAAATCACAAAGGACACATAAATGTATTTAACACTTCAACTGGGAAAAACTTTAAGGTGAGAAATAATACTTCTTGTAAACACATGAATAATTAATGAGGAAAACACAATAGAAATCACAACCGTGAAGAGTGTTGTAAAATCCCATACAACACAGCCACTCATGTTAATGTTGTAAACATTACTTACAGTAGTGCTGACACTATGACCATAAAATAAAATCTAAAATAGTAACTATCTAATAGTTCTTATTTAGTGACTATTAGTTACTATCATTGAAATATGGGTCATATCAAGTTTTCAGTAAAGGTATGTTACTCAACAGGGTGGTACAGGGAAAGTGTCTTCAGGTGTTTATTGCATGGAATTTGAGTCATCTGGTATGGTCTTGTGGGTTGGTGACGAAAAGGTAAAACGAGTTCATTTTAAGTCAGTGAAGATGTCATTGTACATCAGTAGGCCTACATATCTCTCTCCAACCGTTCTCATGCCAAATGTTGCAAATAGTCTCCTTTATAATTCCTATGCCATTTTGAAAGGTAGCAGAAAAGTGAGATGGCTGATGAGCATGCAGTGATAGATATCTGTGAATAGTGGTCTGTCGGTGTAAAGGGAGGTTTCTAGGGTAACCCTTCACAGTTTTGCAAGATCTTGTCTGATTGGTTTACCAGCTATTTGTTGAATAAAACGCAACAGTAGAATTCAAGAACAAGGAAACAATGACTTTTGTTTAATATTCCTCCAATCACAAGAAACCTTACAAACTCATGATGGATAACAGGGTTTCTATAAATTATAATATTGCATGTTCACTGGTCATCTCACTTCAATGCAAATCCACAGCTAATTTTCAAGATGGTGTAGTGAACCCTGAGTCTATTCAACAAAAGTGAATTGATGAGGGAGAAATTGGCAGTAGCTCTATCTAGAGTTGATGTGACATATCCAGTCTGCTGAATATTGGAATATTGTACTGATCTTACATGAGTAAAACATCTATTCCACAGGGTTGCATCTACTCGTTTTGCTTTGACATTTCATCAGGAAGACTTCAAAAGTCAAAAAGGTTTGTAAGTTCAAACTCATCTGACTAAATATAAGAACTACAATATTAAAAAAACAGCGACTACATTGTCCAAGGAATATAAGGGAAATGTAGCTACATTATCCTATTCATCCAGATATGGCAAAATAATAATAATAAATAGTATTTATATAGYGCAAAATATCCACCAGGTTCTGATGGGCTTTCTAAATTAAATATAGAAAAATTTAAAACTCTTATAAAAATTTATGAAAAAGGATATAAAAAAGATATAAAGTTTATTTGCAAAAGAATTTAAATATGTACACTGTTTAATTATTCATGAATATATACTTTTTTGCATAATACACTAATACAATAATAATAAAAAGAGACAGCCGCTTGTGCAACAAGTCATGTTATCCTAGACTCCTACATTCTCTGAGAGTCGTGGCCTTGCTGTCTTTTTTTGGGTGCCAGAGGAGGGAGAATAGGAGCAAATGAGGATGATTCTTTCCTTTCCCGTCACTCGTCTCTAACGTTTAATATATGACCGTTACAAAGGAAGCCCGAGGGAGTTACAAAGAGTTTTTCATTCCTCAGAAAGCTTTGAAGTTGGACTATAATGATTGTATAATTCACTTCAAGTATTATTTTTATTTTAGAATAAACGTTTCAGAAGGCAATCCTGTGACGTCCATTGTATATCGTAGTTGGATAAGTCGCGAGGCAAGAGATCCAATGGTTCTTGTTAATGCATGCAATGATAACCTGTGCTTATATAGGTAGGTGATAAAAACCCTAAAAAAGAGCTCCTCTATATTACGGACACCTTGCACAAATACCTGCATTATGGTTACAAACTTCTCTAGATAAAGGCACCTACATAAAGTGTCTGTATTTCTATGTGTTATTGATCTACCCTTACAGAAAACTCTATATTACGGATACCTTATTGTGGACAATGTGCATGTTACGGACCCCTGGGTGTTACACTTCTCTACATAAAGGCGCCTCTATATACCAAGACCAGCCTCTATTCCGACCACGTTTTCAATAAATGCCCGCCTAAATTACGGAAATGATGGTACTAACTGCGGTGAATAAATGTCTATATTATGGAAAGTTTTCATTACAAGAAGGGGCAGCCTCAAACACTCCCCCCTTCATTAATATAGTATCTTTCCTACAAGAAGCCCAATATGATAAATGGCTATTCTCTTTTCAGTGTCACAGACAATGTAGGAGATCTCAGGCTCAAGGCAAGGTTCCCTATCTCACAAAAGTCTCAAAACATTCGAAGTTCGTTCTGTCCTCTGATGTCATTTAGGCAGGGCGCCTGTGTAGGTGAGAGACCACTGGCCACTATGTTGTGGGTGTCTGTATTTTTTCCTGATAAAAAGCCCTGCGAAGTGCTGTATGTTATATATTCACTTAATATCCTTACAAAATGCCTTGAAATTATAGGTAGTAACTAACTCCGATATCGCACTAGTGATCTCAAACCCCATTTCATACTAATGCGAATTCAATGACGAAGTTTCACCCTTTGTTTTTGTTCAATATATATTTCGCATTAAACTTGGCACGTCTGCCTGAGACTCGAGCGTCATTGCTTTCGCGTCTACTAGTTACTTCTTCAACTGACTATTATTGAATTTTGTGCTACGGGATTATTGTTGAATTATTTCACGGATTTATTGTTGTCGAATGACCGTTTTGTTCACGGATTTTTAGTGTTTTTAAATTACCAATAGTACATAAAAGTATAAACATCAATGCGAAATAAATATTTATGACTATCTAGGCAAACATTGTTGCAAAATATATATATATATGGCTATGTAGGCAAACGTCTTTGCAAAATAAATATTTATGACTATGTAGGCAAACGTCGTTGCAAAATAAATATTTATGATTATTTAGGCAAACGTCAATCAAATTAAAGCCAATGATGTAAATGTTTTTTTTTTACTTACAGTGACCGGAAGTGAAGATATGGCGGTCTATTTCTTCGACGTCCAGCGTGACGACAAACCGTGTGTTAACAAACTCATGGGACACTCGTCTCCAGTGCTCGACGTTTGCTGGAATTATGACGAAAGCTTATTGGCCTCTTGTGACATGGAGGTGAGRCTTTGTAGGTCACGTGAATGATTTATTGTCTTTGATTGGTCGAGGTAGATACTGCAGATACGAGTCAGTAAMGGAAAAGAAATGTCAAATTCTTCCTTTTGTTTTTGTTTCAGGGMACCGTGATYGTTTGGAAACGAGAGCAACATAAATATAATATKTAGAAATGCGAGTTGTATTGAGAAAGAATTCAAGAAAAAATTTCCCACTATTCGCGAGAGTGAACTTACGGAGCCGAAGATCGCCCGATATTTCCCGAACGTGCTAAACAATATTACATATACATGTGAATGGCTTACTCAATATCACCAAAGATTCTACTTAAAAAAATAATAAGGAAAATGTTACATCTTCAATGTTAACTAATAAATCACAAAAAAGTTTTAAGAAGTTTATTCATAAACAAAGTAACGGTATTTACTGTAATGAAGTTTTCGTAATCTCATTTATTAAAAAAGGCAAAAAAAATAAGTAATTAAAAATATGCTTTATTTTTCAAGATTTTAGTGGAGTTATTGTACCTAATAATATATTAAGTAATGTTTTCGATGTTTTTCTGTGCGCTGCTTAAAGTAAGGTTGCTTTAATACTAGCTTTCTAGTTTCGAATTTGCTGACTAATGTTTCAATTCCATTCGTTTGTGAAGGTAGAAGCCCTTTTCATGATTAGAAAACAAGTTGCGTGAGGCGGGCCTGTGTTTTATTAAAGCCTGTGTTGTTGTTTTTTTACCAAAGCAAAGCAGAATATATCGGGCAACAACCCAAAAATTGTCCTTCTTGAGCTTGTTTATCGACTTTTTGTAACGTCAGGAAAATAATTTTTGTAGTTGAAAAAAGTCATAATTTTGATATGACTTGGCTTTCCCGCTTTAGTTTTAACAACGAAAGGTCTGTTGTGTTCATAGTAATCACTAGTTCTTCATAAGTGAATCTTAAGTCTAAATTTTGGTTCTTAATTTGTTCTTCTATTGTCAGTCTAGAGCGGTTTTCATTAACCCGTGAAACACGTTCGCGTATTTATCGCTATTACACTTTGGCTCTTTTGTTTTTTATTGTCTCTACGCGACTATTACGATCTATTACACTCTAATTATTACACTTTCACGGGTTTATGAAAACCACTCTATGCCAACCAAACATGGAATAATGAAAACTAGACACTAACGCCTGTTGTCTATGTGATTGTCCCAAGGCGCGTTTTTCCAATGTTCTAATTTCCAGAAGGGATTTAAGAACTGAAAAGCGCATTCTGGGGCGATTCAAGGGATTATATGGACATTAGACATAAGCTTTCCATATGAAATGTTTTTTCGCACTGTACTCCATTTTAATGTCTTTACCACACAGCATATGTTTGAACGCTAATATCTTATTAGCGTTCAAAGGATTGTACGTATCTTAAGGTTATCGATAAGCCTTTTTAAGTTATGAGCTTACTTTGCAGTTATTTTGAATTTCACCCTTACTATAATAATGGGCGATATTTTTGTAAACAAAAATCCGCCTATAAATTCCTCAGCATCAGCTGCAATATGATTGTTGGCGAAGGACAACAACTAACATTTGTTATCACAAGCTGGGGGATGAGCTGGGACAAAACTTTCGTCGCAATGTCATAAAATTTGTCATAAAATTTGCTTTCCACAATTTTTCCCCTTACACTTGACCACATGGAAAACGAGCAGAAGACTGGGAATTACCATAATAAACAGTCCATGTTTTTAAGCATCTAATTTCACCGTAGAAAGAGTATATCTCCACTTGTGAATTGGTGGAGTTTTCAAATGTTGAATATCAGCAGAGTTACGAGCATTTGAATTTTACTAACGTGAGGCCTCAATACTAATTTTCATTTGAGCCTTTGCAATTTCAAACACCTGTAATTTCTGGTCCTTAAATGTTAGAGCATTGAGGCTTTCAGATCTTATTCATTGTAATATGTTCTTTCAACGGGTAGCAATGTTAATAAAAACCTTATAAACTAAGGCGTTACGGTATACACGCCCTTTTTCATATGGTCTACTGATACCTTTCAACTTTTATTGAAGTATGCAGCTTGAAATATAACCGACATGCAGTCACAAAAAGTTACTGAAAAAGAAAAGAAAAACWAAAAACATTGCATGGGAATCGCGCCAGTCTTCGCAATGTAATTCAGGGTCTATTAATATTCTTGTGTACAATGTAATTACATTTCGCATTCATTGGCTTCACATCAGAAGTTATATTAGATTTCTAACTGCCGCGACGAAAACAAAGACAAACTCCTGACAACTGCGATGCAAAACTAGGTTGTCAATTAAACTTTTTCATTTGATATTAGCCGACGATGGAAAACATGGGATAAGGCCAAAACGTGTTCTTCCTTGAGATTTCTAAGACGAAAAGCTGAAGAATTCGAGATCTTTTTGATTTTCAGTATGATTGTAAGCTAATTTTATGACGTATCTATGAATATATCTATAAATCAATTATTCTCCTATAATTTTTCAGATAAGAACTTACTTTAAACAAGAAAGCAGCTCTAGATGCTGTAATATGGGACACATGGTTTTTTGRTTCCCACAATACAATAATGAGAATCATAAACTCAAAAAGCTTTGCTTCACGTACTCGTATCCGAGTTTAGTAACTCTGCTTGAAGCCTATTTGTTCCAAGATGACAGAAACTGCGTTCAAAATRAAGATTTTCTGCCAGTTCGTCTCTAATTTACAAATAATAAAATTACTAAGATGCAGGTCAAAATTTGAAGCGGGTATATATGACTTTTTTTGCCTTATGAGGGTTTATGAAATAAACACGGCGCATATTTATTTAAAAACAGGACAGAAMGCAAATTAATATTCGCCAAAACTGACTTCCATAATGTTTTATAAATAAGTTTTACAACAAAACAAACCCCCTCTCGATAGAACGAATCTCCGCAATTTTTAATAAAGCTCGTTTTCTTTACGAGCATTCAAAACAATGMACTAAACTCTTGATAGTAAATTAAATAAGTTTTTGGATTTCATTTTGTGTAATAAGCAATAGCCATCTTATTGTTATGGTAATTCCGAGTAGAGAATTTCAGATAATTCAACTCTCTTGACTTAAAACAGAGACGTCATGCAGAACTGTTCATGTACCCTTTCAATAACATGTTATTGTCATTTTATGGCTCAGCGAGATGGCGGCATTTATCCATATTCTCTTGGCAGCTTATAACGAATTGGAAATGAAAGCATCCCAAAGTCGCAGGTGGGTTAAAACATTCCTGTGACAAATACAACCAGCTCAGTCTTCTGGGATATAAGTATCACTGCCTTCTGAGTTCTATTTCTAGAGATCGGTGAAACAACTAAACCAATCAACTATATCGGGGCGGCGTTAAATCGAACTGGCATCCTAAACAAAATTGAATTGTCATCTGGAAAAGATAATTATTTTAAAAAGAAATCATGTATGTTATGGTTTAACAAGTGAAATGCCTTGAAACGGAGCAACAGAAGAGCGAAAAGTTATTGCGATTCAAGAAGAGTATAATTATTGAAGCTTTTGGCAATTCAGATTTCTGTCAGGGAACTCAAAAGATCCTAAGAAACCCATTCCATAAAGTTTGCTAAATAACTACGTTAACATCGATTTTATACATCAAGGTGCAGGCTCAAGAAAAGCTAAGCCATGAGGGAGAACTGGACAACCTTTGCATCCAATACAACCCTTCATGGTCTGCGTTTCGTYGTAGGAACKTCGGGTATTCGTCGTTTGTTCTGGGCMCTTTGCTTGCTTGTATGTATTTCGGCCTATATGTACATTGTTTACGATAGCGTAGCAAAATTCACRAGTCGCCCAATCAATACTTTGGTATCTAACGAAGTTCCATCTGAAGGRATCGAATTTCCTGACTTTACAATATGCAATCTRAACTCAGTCGTYAAGTCCAAAATCGACACCGCATACGACGATCCGCGATTTGAGCAGCTCAATCTTAATATGCCAGCCTGCGAAGTCGTGAGAAATGTCAGCGGGAACCTTACGTGTGGACAGGCGCTACTATGTGCATATAGTAAAGATGCGTCATTTTTTGTACCMATGTGTGACATGAGCATGCACTCGAAATTGAATCAAATTYTMAAKGCCCCATCYCGTATTTATAACCCTGAAGACTTCTACTTTCGTTACGGACATGGCTTGGGGACCATGTTYATGAAATATTGTGCTTTTGGCCGAGATCAMGACGATGATGAACTATGCAATGAAGGTGATTTTGACCCTGTTATGACCGAGCAAGGAATTTGCTACACTTTCAACATCGAAAGATACGTCAACCGGACGAATGGAAAATCAACAACAGTCCGCCTGGCAGGAGGGGAGAATGGTCTCAGCATTCTACTAAATGCCGAATTGGGGGAATATACATTTGGTCAATGGTCGTTTGGTCTTCGGATAATTGTTGAAGAGAGAGGAAAGGGTGTCAACAGAAACCAAGGGGTCCTTATTTCCCCTGGTTCTCATGCTATTGTCATTCTGAGCGCCAATAAAGTAAGTGCAAGTTGGGCAGTGCGCTACCCCTAAGCGAAGGACAAGGAAAAGGAAAAGTGAAAGCGATGGTGATGTAAGGGGCAGAAGTGAATAAGATGAAGGCGATGGAAAGGAGTGGGAGAAGGAAAAGGAAGAGAAAGAAGCAAGAGCGAAGGTGAAAGCGATGGGGAGGGCAAAAGCGAAGAAGTGGCGAATGAGACAGAAGTTAATGGGGAGGGCGAAAACGAAAGGGAAGGTGTTGGAAAGGGTGAGAGCGAAGAAGTGGCGAATGAGAAGAGAAGAGAAAAAATATGGAACTCATTTGTATCTGAAGCCTCCTCTCTAGATGGGGGGAAATGAGATGCAACAAATGTCCTGCTCCGTTGAAAAATCAAATAAAGCATTTCTTTCGTTGATTCAAAAATAACCAGGCAAATATTACTGTTTGGACCCGTCTCCAAAACAATACAGCAATGAGGTCAAACGACTTCATCGAATACAATAAGAGATAATGGTAGACAGGTCAACCAACAATGTCTGTGTTCAGTCGTCTTGTCACTTCATTCACCATCATTGACGAAGAAGAGGCAAACGTTAAAATGTTGGGTCGCCAAAAAAACTATTTTTGAATGGAGTTGGAATGCAACTGTTAAATGGTGCATCAAAGATGTTTCTCGGCAATTTGTTTGATGATAAAACATAACAATGTTTATCATCAAACAACATTGTATGATGCTTTGTTCGACGACAGTTCGATTTGGAGATTTCTCGGTTTCACGGCTTTGGTGACTTATAGTTTTATAACAGCTTGATTTCCATTCCAGATAAAAAGGCTACGTGAACCTTTCGTTTCWAACTGTTCAGAGAGATACCTTCCTGGATATCAGAGATATTCTAAAGGTATCTGCTTCGAGCAGTGCTTGAGCAACAAAACTATTGAAAGATGTGGATGTCGTCCAATAGGAGAGCCAGGTACTGTTGTAAAAGGAAAAAAGATTCAAAATGTCCATTCATGTTCGTCAGTTTTCACACTGAGTTTTAGATTCTCGTTTACTSMAAACGCCCTGTCGACTATGGTTGATGGGTAWATCGTGAAATGTTTTCGATTAAGCCAAAATTTCGTTGAAAGTGAATCAGAAATGATGTACGCGWTTCAAGTCAATCACGGATCCCATGATGTTTGTGTCGATTCCRTTGCAGGACATCCGGAAGTTCCCGTGTGTAGCCTAGGAGACGAAAAATGCCGTTTAGAAGTCGTAGGTACGTGTGTCATCATTAATAATCATCGTCGYTATCATCATTTTCATAAGATCATGTAAAGTATATTGCTAGAGGATCAATGTCACAGAAAATGCGAACTATTGTGGTTTAATTAGAGGGCGAAGAAAGCATTACTGAAGCTAAAATTTATCTCATTTGTTTTAACAATATTTTATTCGCCTCTTTTCAACTCATGCACTAACAAGGATTTTATGTATTGCACAAAAATAATCAAAAATGACCAAAAAAAATATTCACTTCAGGCCGAGAGATCCTTGATCTGGCAGTAAAATCTATTTTTTAATCTACAGATGTTATGCGTTTCCCAGAATGCCACTGTAACTCTCCGTGTGAGGAAACCTACTACATCCCACGAACATCGTTCGCTCGGTTTCCTAACACAATGATCATGGATATAATAAGGGGATATGTGAAGAATGACACTWCTGACSAATACATAAAGTAAGTTACGTTTCCCAAATATCCTTTTCAATTCATTGCGCGATCTGATGTCRACGGAGATGYAGCGGCTTTGCCTAAGAYACAATTTACTCCGGRTCACGYCATGTGGAATCAGGGATCATCGTGACCAGGGCCAGATCCAGAGTCCACTGGTGCATAGGTCACACACCCCGCAAACACCACAAGTATTATGTCATTTAAAATCAATATTTCACTTATTATCATGTCGATGACTCCTAGCCACCTATGGCAAATGCCTGGATTCGCTCGTGCACATAGATGCATGGACCGGATTAGAATATAGATCCTGCACTCCAGAGGATCACAGAATATGGATTATAGGAATGGGAACTTCGAATTGCAATATAGTGGTTTAAGAAATAATGTGTCAAACTGTATTCGTGACTTTGTGGGATCAGGATATATAAATAAATATAGTCTATAATAATATTGCTGCACACGGGACAACGACTACCGTAGCACAATACTGAACAGCTGAAGTAACGTAAACATAACAGCGTTCTTTAGGTCAACATAACATTTTCAAAACTGTGCAGTCTACACATGCCTCGACATATTTTTCTGGTCAACTTAGAATAGAATTATAGATACAGGCTGCCGTGTACGGTTTTTTACTTACTTGCAATCATATCTCCTTTCAAAGGGACAACTTTATCTTCTTACAAGTTGGGTTTGCTGCGGTRGAGTACGAGGTCATCGAGCTACAGCCGGCCTATGTACTTAGCAACCTCTTTGGTAAGTATGCATCCTTAGTAAASCCCCGCTCATTTGGAACGTTTGACCAGACCTTGCAAATGTTGCTTTTCTTCTTTGTTTAAGGTGACCTYGGTGGCAACATGGGCTTRCTTCTTGGTTGTAGTGTCCTTACACTGGTGGAGTTTTTTGATTACGTCTTCATGTACATCCTCGATAAAATTGACGCCAACAAGAACAAAGTACAGGAGTTGTCGGACAAATCGTCTCGACAGAATACACAGGGCCTGCAACAGGAATCGCAAGATCAGGGACAGTGGAGAACAATGGAACTTTAGGCTGTACTTATCTTGGATGGRGGGTTCGGGGGGTTCAAGCTTAAAAGGTCCGGTGTGTCTCTTTTTTATTGTTCTATTCTAAAATTCTTTTGTTATGAACTGTATTTTGTTATGAACTGCTCATTATAGCAGCTAGTTCTTACACACTATACCTATTTCATTGAACTAATATACAATTTACTTAAACATTTAATTTTGGTCCGCATTATGAAAATACGGAACCCCCCTCCCCCTCCATTTGCAAGGAAGCCTACAGGCCTGTACCACACTAGCGGACTATTATTGCAAATCCTATACATTCTGATTGCCTACGCTACTCAGGGTCTATTTTCAATAGCCCTCGATTAGTGAAAAACTCCAAATTTTAATTTATTTTTAAAACAATATTGTTGTCAAATCGATGTGTGAAGGACCATTTTAAGTTGTTTTTTACTCAACCCAGCTTTAACGAGCGTGTAGTGAATTGATTTTTACTTGTTAAACATGCCAGCGTGTCAAACGATGTCGGAGGTAATTGATGCAAATTTAATTAAAACTGTAAGTGAGAATTATTAGCAATAAAAACATTTTGTTATTTGTATATATTTCATTCATTTTTATTGTCCAACTAGTATGGTAATACTAAAACAATTGTGGACTACGAACTGATAGCCCATTCGGTCTTCGGCCTCCACTCTACCTCRCAGAGGTCTAATTGTTAAATAGGTTAATACCATTACGCGCTAGACAGTAAAAGGTGTTACACACCTTCTGGCACGTACTCGATCTGCTTGACGCGAATGCTAACTGGTTTCAGGCACACTTAAAGCGATGGATCCGTTCAACCTAGACCAAAACGAAAACTCGTCGATCCGACGATAAAAATCTGAAAAAAAAACAGCAGTCTGGTGGAGGAAGATGTCTCGACTTGTCATGTCCCATTGTTGAACAAGGTGTTTGCTTTATGCTGTGCACCGCAAAATTAAAACGTGAAGCCACTTTTTAAATTGTTTATATAAGAGAGGAACTGAAGCAATTCCTTTTTACCTAAAAACTGGGTTCGAAGCGAAAATTTTTAAACTAACGAGCATAAGCCGCTTTACTTTGTCTTCTTAATCTCTACTTATCCTTTTTCTATTGTTTACTATTTTTCACTTACACCTATGTTTAGTCGTGTGCTTCATAAATATTCTTTTTTGGGTAACTAATGAAAGAAACGAAATTAAAACTTAAAACATTTGCAGGTGGTTATTTGATGAACCAGGTCCGATCGAATACGAAGATCACTTCTTTGATTTGGCGGAGCAAGTTTTATTTTTAAGATTTTTAGAGTTTTAAACAAGTTCATTGGTCAAATTKGAGTTGTTATCTTGTAAAGTATTTAGTTCAAGACAAAGGAAGTGCAATTGCCATTGATTGACTAGAAACAAGTGGAAAGGTAAGGAGTTCATTCATGGAGAAACTGGAAGCCTTTTTTGAATCTCTTTTATCTAGTTTGCCTGGTCTTAGCGAAAAAAGTTATATTCCAAGATTTTAATCATCACAGGTATTCAGCAAACCCAAAGCCATGAAAGAGAACTGGTCAACCTTCGCATCCAATACAACACTTCACGGCCTTCGTTTCGTCGTAGGAACTTCGGGTCTTCGTCGTTTGTTCTGGGGCCTTTGCGTGCTTACTGGTATTTCGGGATTTATCTACGTTCTTTACGTTAGTGTAACAAAATTTACAAGGCACCCAATAAGTACTGTGGTATCTTACGAGGTTCCCGCTGAAGGAATCGAGTTTCCTGATTTTACAATATGCAATCTGAACTCAGTWGTMAGGTCCAAACTCAACATCGSATACGACGATCCGCGATTTGAGCAGCTCAATCTMAATATGCCAGTCTGCGAGGTCTTGAGAAATGTAAGCGGTAACCTYACGTGTGGACAAGCMCTAGCATGTRTATATAGCAGATACGCGCCATATTTTTTACCTCAATGTCACATGAGCATGCAGACGAAATTACGTCAAGTACTGAACACTTCATCCCGTGTCTTCGATCCCGAAGATTTCCTTTTCCGTTACGGACCTGGCTTCGGAGACATGCTCATGAGATATTGTACTTTTGGTCCATATCAAGACGACGGCGCATCATGCAATGAAGGTGATTTTGACCCTGTAATGACACAACAAGGATTATGCTAYACTTTCAACATCAAAAGATTCATTAATCGCACAAGAAGAAGGTCAACAACTCTCCGACAGCCCGGAGTGGAGAATGGGCTCAGCATTTTACTCAATGCCAAATTGGGTGAATACTTATTCGGAGAATGGTCGTTTGGTTTTCGAATAATTGTTGAAGAGAGAGGAAAGGGTGTCAACAGAAACCAAGGSGTCCTTATTTCCCCTGGTTCTCATGCTATTGTCATTCTAAGCGCCAATAAGGTAAGTGCAAGTTCGGTAGTCCGCTATTGAATAAATGACTACCCCTCAATAGAAATTTTGTTGAATCCTGGCCAACTGAAAAGTTGCAAAGAAGCGAAAGCGATGGCGGGGTAGAGGGCAGAAGTGAATAAGAAGTCGATTGAAAGGAGTGGTCGAAGGAGAAGGAAAAGAAAGAAGCAAGAGCGAAAGAGAAGATGATGGGGAGGGRAAAAGCGAAGAAGTAGCAAATGAGAAGAGAAGAGAAAAAATATGGAACTCATTTGTATCTGAAGCCTCCTCTCTAGATGGGGGAAATGAGMTGCAACAAATGTCCTGCTCCGTTGAGAGGTAAAGGAAAAGGAAAAGAGGCAAAGCAAAAGCAAAGATGGTGTAGAGRGCARAAGCGAAGAAGTGGGCGAAAGAGAGGGAGAAGGTAATGGAGAGRRCGGAAGCGAAAAAGAAGGCGATGGAGAGGGTTAGAGCGAAGGAGTGGTGAAGGAGAAGAAAAGAGGAMATTTTAAGCTCATTTGCATCTCAAGCCCCCTTTCTAGATGGGGGGAATGAACTGTAACAAAGKTCTAGAAGTGTCCAGCTCTGTTGAAAAATGAAATAAAGCATTTCTTTTGTTGCTTCAAATAACCATCAATTTTTACTGTTTGGCCCAGTCCCAAAAATAAAACATMAAAATAAAACAAACGTAATGAGAAAAYWTTTGGATATCGTCATATGACAACATCTTTGGTGCTTCATCGAATACCATCAAAATGGAGATCGACGGTAAAATGCTGGGCCAACTGACCAACAACTATGTCTGATCGTGTTCAGTCGTCTTGTCACTTCATTCACCATCATTGACGAAGAAGAGCCAAACAGTAAAATGTTGGGTCGCAAAAAAACTTGAATGTTGGACGCAACTCTTAAATGATTCATGAAAGGTGTTTGATGATAATACATAACTGTGGACGATGTTTGTGCGATGTTTGACGATAGTTTGACTTGAGGTTTCTCAGTTTCATGGGTTTGGTTACTTACAGTTGTTATAACAGCTCAATTTCCATTCCAGATTAGAATGCTACGTGAACCTTTCGTTTCAAACTGTTCAGAGAGATATCTCCCTGGGTATCAGAGATATTCCAAAGACATCTGTTTTGAGCAGTGCTTGAGCAACAAAACTGTTGAGACATGTGGGTGTCGGCCAATAGGAGAACGAGGTACTGATGTAAAGGAAAACAAAATATTGAAAATGCGAATTCATGTTCGTTTTCAAACTATTAAAAGGACGAAATGCTTGTGAGAGAATACAGAACTATGTTGATGGGTAAATCATGGAATGTTTTCCATCTAACCAAAATTTCGTCGACATTGAATCTCAAACGATATACGCGATCCAAGTCAATCATGGATCCCATGTTTGTGTCGATTCTATTTCAGGACAACCAGAAGTTCCCGTGTGTAGCATAGCAGACGAAAAATGCCGTTTAGAAGTCGCAGGTACGTGTAATAATTAATAATAATCGTCGTTATCATAATTTTCATAAGGTCATGAAATGTAAAAAAATATGATACACTTGAGGCTAGAGATCGTTGATCTTTTGCCCACAAAAGCTGCAAAAAGAAACGCTGAAAAAAAAGCTGCTGTTTTATTTACAGATCGCATGCGCTTCCCAGAATGCCACTGCAACTCTCCGTGTGAGGATACCTACTACATCCCACGAACATCGTTCGCTCGGTTCCCTAACTCGATGATCATGGATATAATAAGGAATGGATATGGGAAGAATGACACTGATGAGTACATGAAGTAAGTACGTTTCCCAAATATCCTTTTCAATTCATTGCGCGATTAGATGTCGACGGAGAAGCAATCAACTTATTTTTGATTTTATTATTTTAACATCAATAAGCGGATTGGCTACAACATTAATTTGCTCCGGGTCACACCATGTGGAATCAAGATCACTTCGAGACCAAGGGCAAATCCAGAGTCCTCTCGCGCATATGGTGTAACAATATTTCAATTTATATAATGTCCGCTCCAGCACATAGATGTATGAGACCAGAATTATCGATCCCGCAATCCTGAGGATCACAGAATATGGATTATAGGAAGATAAAAAATGGGAACTTTGGATTGCAATTTAAACTGACATTGTGGGATCAGTGATCAAAACGATCATATAAATAAATGTATAGTCCAGGATATTGGTGTGATCGGGACAGCGACTCAAGTAGCACAATACTGAAYAGCTGAACTAATGTAGACATGAAGAAAAGTAGTGGTTTGCCATGCCTTGTGATAATAATATAATTTTGGGGAAATACTTCTTAAGGCATATAAAGTCGATAACTTTATTCCAGACGTAGACATGACAGCGTTCTTTATGTTAACATAACATTTTTAAACCCGTGAAGTCTACAAATGCCTTGACTGATTATCTCTGGCCATCTTATGAAAATAGAATTAAGATGCACGGTCCCTTACAGAGTTTACTACTTACTTGCAATTTTATCTCCTTTCAAAGGGAGAACTTTATCTTCTTACAAGTTGGGTTTGCTGCGGTACAGTACGAGGTCATTGAGCTCCAGCCGGCATATGGATTTAGCAACCTCTTTGGTAAGTATRCAGCCTTATTTTAGTCCCGCTCAATTTAAACGTTTGACCACACATTGCACATTTTCTTCTTTGGTAAAGGTGACCTTGGTGGCAACATGGGCTTGCTTCTTGGTTGTAGTGTTCTTACACTGGTGGAGTTTTTCGATTACGTTTTCATGTACATCCTCGATAAAATTGAGGCCAACAAGAACAAAGTACAGAAATTGTCAGACAAATCGTCTCGACAGAATACACAGGGCCTGCAACAGGAATCTCAAGATCAGGGACAGTGGAGAACAATGGAACTTTAGGATGTACAAATCGAAGACATATCTTTGGGGGTTTTCCCAAGAGGTTGCAAAAAGTAAATGAGATTACTACAAAAAGAATTTTCAGGTCTCACAACATCTATTATATAGAGGTCCCAAACGCATCCCCAGGAGAAGTCTTTTTGTGCTCGAAAAAGCCTTCGAAGAAGGAGGAGGAGAAATAGACCTAATCGGCTAACGGCGTTGCTATGTAAGTTGCCATCCAATTCAAATCCTGTGGGAAAAAGAACTTTTGTTTCTAAGAATTCAACTGTGAAATGAAAATACAAYGAACAATGAAACTTACTCCCGGGTGGTTTGAATTGGGTTGAAGCCGATTAGGTCTATYGAGGTGTTCTTTTTGCCAACTCCGGGGGTGGGGGCAGTTACCAACCAATCAACCAATGATTGAACGAGTTTACGCC